ATTTCTTAATGTCCTGTTCAACTTTTAGGAAACCCCCCATTTAAAATAAAAAGAAACAATATATCCCGAGGGGTGTTCCACTCATGCAGTTAGGTGTACAAATATCATACATTCATGTATATGCAGTCCAAACATGTAGTCATAATACAAACATAAATTCTGTGCAGTCCCAATTCGAGGTGCAGTCACATGCAGTAGCGTACATTTCATACCTACACTCGGGAAAAATCGTAAGCAGTCGCTGCGAGTGGAATCTGCAATCTTGTTAGAAATTGCTTAAAAGTTAATGCAGTCAACTGTCATCTTAAATGCAATGCAGTCAAATACAGTAGGTGTACAAAATTTAGTGGATGAAACACCCTTCGATATATCCTCAATATTGTAAAACAATATACATCTTAGTTGTTAAAAAGTAACAGCTGTATGCATGTAACTTCTTTTAGCTTAAAAACGGTTTTTAAAACTGGTCACTTTTAAAAATGTGTATTCTAAGCAATACAAATTTTTTAAAAGTACCAGTTCCAAAAAGCGCTTTTAAGTTAAAAAAAGGATGTTGCATACAGCTGTAGGTACTCAACTCTAAGGTTACCTTGCATTTGATTCTATTCTGGATTCCACTTGATAAACTGCTCTCGTGCTTCAACACTGAGCGAAATAAAAATAAATTTCTTATCACGGAGCAATAATTATGGGAACTTCCAGGGAATTTGTACAAGGACTTCGTGGGGAATTAGGAGGAATTTGTGGGGTATTTGGAGGAATTTGTGGTAAGGGATCTGGAGTGGGACTGTAACGCATAGAGATCGTTATTCCTATCGCTATGGCACTTGTCTTTTCCTTTCTTTTCGGAATCAATAGATTCTGGAAAAGGGGGTAGTTTACTCCTTGGCGGTTTCCATATACTCAAACAAGGCGCATTGCCAATTTCCGTTGAATCTTTTGGTATCAACCTTAGACAAGGAAAGAGAGGGAACTCGTATCACATGACGTAACTAATTAAGATCTTTATGTGAATTTAATATTTTGTTCATGTTACCATTTGATTATGTTTCTTTTGACTTCTATTAGGTACAGTTTAAGATCGAGACGATCTTATATCAGGCTGACCGAAGTTGTGGTATTCAAATTTTAAATCTCCCGCGATTATCTACAGTTTCCTTATTTAAAAAACTTTTTGACAACCTCGTTCACTTGCACTCTGGGTGTGAGAGTGGCCCTAGAGTCCTCTAAACCGTTCATAAATTAACAGATGCTCACTCGGAGTGTTACGCTGAAATCGTTCAGAAATCGAGAGTTGACGTGCCCAGAGTGCGCCCAAATTACCCCACTGAGGGACTGGGTTGAAAAACGTCCCGCGGTTTTTACATAGGTTTTTACCGGGTTTGACGTGATTCATGACATTGACATTGACCGCAACGCCTCAATACGTTCAGAAATAGCGCACCCAGAGTGCACTCCAAGCGATGACATCAGAACACTCTGACAAACAACTACTTTACCTTCAAACTCCATTTCTAAACGCACTCCAGAGGTGTAAATGAGGTAATTAGGCAATCCAAACCACGTGACTTTTTTTGACGGATTGTTGGCACACAAAAGATTTTCTTGGTTTAATATTGTCCTTGCGTTCGGTATTTTGCTCAAAGAGCAGAGCGTGCTGAGCGGAGCCGTAATCACGTGATCAGCGAGCGAACAGAGCAATGGAACGTAGTATCCGAGTGCCCGAAATTTTAATAAACGAACGCAAATGAGCGTGCTCCGAGTACACTTTTTGAATAAACGAATGGTAATTTCAAACTCGGAGAACTCTGATCAAAATACCGAATGCACGGTGTGTCATTTTCTGTGTTGACTGAGTATTTTGCTGCTTATTGCTTAATTTTGTGAGTTTTAGGTCTCAAAAACACACACTCACAATAATTTAGAAATATTTTGAAAGGAAATTTGTAGAAAGCTGGAAATAATTATTTTAAAATTCCCAACGTCAAAGGTAAACACAAGGGACGATGACTGATGACAGAAGAAATTTAGGGTTATGGGCACATGTGTGCCAATAGTCGGCCATATTTGACACATCGTTGGATTGCCTAATTTGTCATCAAAAAAATTCTGCTCTTTTCATAACATAACCTAGAAATCATATTGTTTTTTGCCTGTTAAATGTAATCCCGTCCACTTTTTTTTCTGCGGCTTTTTTTTTAATTTATTTATTTATTTATTTATTTACGGGGTTCCCCCATTAAAGGCCAAATTATGGACCAACTGGTAAGAGTCTGGTTGTTACCTAGCAGGTACTTTCTATTATCTACCTGCTAGGAAACAATCAGACGTTTACCAGTCAGTCCATATCTTGGCCCTAAATGTTATAATTTACAATATAGTTACAATACAGTTGGCAACATATCAATATTACTCACCTACTAGAACTAACTAATTACCAAATAATACAATACAATATTCCATCCCGTCCCATTCTCTACCTATTCTTTCAAATTTATGTCAAACAGATAATTGTAACGTAACCGCCTTGATGGTATATGAGACTGAATTAGTTGTAATAATTCTGGACATGAAATTTGGGAGTTTATAATAGGTCTGTTTCTGAAGAAATCACAAACCAGTCAGAATGAATTTTATTGGTTGAAACTAGTTTTTTGACTGTTTTCATCCAATGAAATTTGCTCTGACTCACACTATGTTCTAATAATTCCATATCCATTATAGTTCTTAATTCATTATAAGTATATTCATATTCAGTCTTACTGAACAGTATCTGAGAAATCTATTTTGAACTCTCTCCAACAGTAATATAGGCATGTTGTAAAACAGTGACCATACAATTCATTCATGGCATTTGAAGCCATACGCTGAACAACCCACCATGCCTAATACCACAAAAAGAATTAGATTGAACCAAAATTCGCATAGTGACACTATGAAATTTTGTCACCAAATAATGGCGTTTTCGGTTACACCCAGCTGCTAGTGCAGGTAAAGGATGTTACGAGTCTTTTCTTTTTCCTTGTCTAAGGTATCAAGTTATCTTGATTATCTCCAATTTACCGAATTCATTGCTTTGTCCTCAATGTGTAAGAAGAGATCACAACTCAATTGAAGTTTCTGAGAAGGTACATTTTTAATTCATAATATGGAAATGGGCTTCAGTATCTAGCACTTTCTAGATGAAAAGTTACATCTTGTGTACTATATTTTGATCCAACTGATTCCAGTTCATGTATAATTAAGATTCATCCATATATTGAAAAAAGATGATGTAACTGTAAGTCCAAAAGAACTGAAATTTTCTTGACATTTTAGTCGGATAAAAATCGCTAGAAATTCCAGCTTTTTATCTCTAATAGAAAAAAAGTTATGATTTTTCAAAGTTTACAAAAATCTAAATCATATGATACCTAGGTAACATAGTACTAAAGTGATGGTACTAACTCAAACTCCATACACTAAATTATTCTGAGAAAAATTGAAAAATTGATAAATCACCCCAAATTGCTTAACACGATTTTATTTCTGGAACTATAAAGTCCAAATTTTCAGGGATTGTAGTCCTCTACTAGAATAAGAATCGCTGATGAAAATTTCAGCTTTCTATCTATAATAGCAAAAAAGTTAGGATCTTTCAAAGTTTTCTAAAATCTAAATCATAAGGTGGCTATCTCAATACTGAAACGATGAAATTAAAAAAAATATATATTCTTGAGATTTTGTGTCTTAATGGTCCTTTGGGATCCCCCAAACTCCATACACTAAATTATTCTGAGATTTGGAATCGTATTCTATGAAAAAAGGCTCTCCGAAAAATTGATAAATCACCCCAAACTGCTTAACACGATTTTATTTCTGGAACTGTAAGTCCAAAAGAGCTGAAAATGTTGAAGTTTTGTATCTAAATGATTATTCAGGACCTCTCAAACTCCATACACTAAATTATGATGAGATTTGGAGTCGGATTTTATGATAAATCACCCCAAATTGCTTAATGAATCTCTCTTTAATTGTAGTTAATGGAAAAACAAAAGTCTGATGACGACAATGCCAACCATCTTGGATAACAACGAAATTGAGAGTGATTTTTTGCTTGAATGAACCCCCGGATATTGTGAATGAATGTATCGATTAGATTTTGCCTTGTTACTAAAGGACAAACCTCAAGGTTTAAATTTGTATTTAAAAACTCATTGTTAATGAATTTATTTCTAATAATAAGTCTTTCCTAGGCTAAACCCTTATCGATTTCGCGCTCAATGTATCCAGAGTATCGATTTTAGCAATTGCGCGAGTGCGCGACCCCGAAAACAATCTAAATGCCGCCCGGCCTTGAAATTGTTGGGAAGTTCATAGCCAAAGGGGAGACATCCACACAAACATATTTCATTCCAGAAAATTTTAAACTTGTATGTAGGTGTAAAATGGATAATTTCCTCTGGTGCAACAAGTGTCCAACATCTGTGTAGATATATGAATTGATTTTGGGCGGTTCAATCTTTAGCTTATTGACCTGGTGAAGATTTAAAATAAAACTATTAAAATTTTACAGAGGAACAGGTGCAAAGGATCAAACTCAAAGGAATCCAGTCCAAGTTTATAAATACCTCGATTGGCCAGAAACGAAAATACTACGTAACTTTTTGCCTGATGGGTTAATTTTAGAATGCTAGTCACGCTGTTTTGTCTGGATGTTATTGAGAAACGTTATAAATGATAATAATTATTTTGCCATTGCTGGCTGCATCCAGGGTCGAATCGATCGATAGCCACCTACCCCGTTCATTGTTAAGAACGGTTCATTCATGGAACGATACTATGGGCCAGATTTTAAATGTCAAGCGCAAGAGATTTTGAACTTGTTGCAAGGGGGAAAATCGATATATAGAGTTGCTAGACGAATTCAATTCCTGACCTATTCTATAGGTAGGTACAAATAAATTGAGTTCAATTACCGTTTGTCTAATGAGACCATTTTGGAATATTTGGTCACTAACCTGTAATTGGTGGTGGTTCAACCACAGTACTAGGTCCAAAGAAAGATGGTGCGTCTCCTGCAGTGGTAACCGGTGTATTAAGATCACCCGGTGCTCCCTCAATTCCGATAGTGTCACCTTCGGAGGCACAAATCGAAGCTGGTGTAGGGCTACCGCCCGAACTCGCACCTGAGCTACCCTTGTAAAGACAAGTGTCGAAACTCAGCACGTTAAAATGATGAGCCGCAGCAGCTGCAGTTTCCGTTAGAAGAAATGCAGTGGACACATGCGGATGATGATGGTGATGATGATGCTGATGGCTGGACAACGTGTCCAAAGTGTCCATTATCATTTTGTCACTGGGTTTTGGGTCTTGCGGCTCCACAATACAATTAAGTCACTACTACTCGTGTGGCACTAAAGTTAATACCGTGCGCGTATTTAACACTTCGGCAACCGTTCCATTTTTTTAAGACGCGCAATAAATTTTGATGATAATTACTTAAGACGCGGCGGACAAAAGTTTAAAAGCCTTCTCTTCTCTACTAAAGTCGCTGTATGACTAAACGGCGCGGCGCGATCAACCACTTTTATGAATGAACCGGCTGTGCCATATTTGGCTGGCCAATGGTTGCGCAGCTCGGTTCGGCGGACCGTCCTCTCTGTCCCTACCTCTAGTGACGCTGGATGACGTCACGCGGACGGCGCTGGCGCCAGAACAGGTTATACCCGGGACGTATGCTAAGATCGTGCTGAAGGGCTGCTGTGGCGCGTGCCACTTTACAGCGACGTTGCCAACAACAACCAAGAAAAAATTTTTGGAGAATTTTTAATTTTTTTTTAACAAATAATCTAATCATTTTCCAGTTCTTATGTTACTTAACTTAAGAAGGTTATGGTTAACTTAAAGTAAAGCTGCAAATAATTCAAACCCAAAAAAATATATATATACCTATGGGTAGGTATTCCAAATTCAAATTGGTTGCCTTCAAAAATATAGTGTCCAAACGGTAAATGTTTGGGCCCATCTGTTTTTAACAGGTCATTTTATTTATTGTTGATTTTAGGGAAACACCTGTGAATTGTTTGCTCAAGTTTAGGGATGAAACGGTTAGATTTAAGGGTAGTTTTCATGAGAATGGATTTGGTGAGATGTAAATAGCCTGATCTATGTCTTTTTGCTTGGATTTTCTAACATTTTTGGATTCTGTAGGTAGGTTCAATGACACTCATTGATGCGAGAAGAAATTGACCAAACATTTATTTCATTTGATGAGTTTTTTTTTTTTAATTATTTTCAAAATAAGTTTCAATTAACAATAATTAATAATTAATGATAAATGTCTTGAATATTTCAATTATATATTTGTAGGCTCATCTTGAATGGTATCTTAAATTCTTGTTATTGGTTGTGTATTCATATATTAAATTCGTAGTTGATTCTTGATTTTGCTCTCATAATTGGGTATTGAAGACAAGGACATGCTAAATCAAATGTTTCATGTTTGATATTAATTATATGCTCTGTATAGTAATATTCTGAGTTTATTAAAGCCTGTATTCTAGAGGTATTCTTTTACTTTAATTTAATAAACTCAAAACTGAATGGATAAATTACTCAAACCAGAAAGATTGGATAAAGACATCAACACCAAAAATGCCGCTCATCAATAAACTTTTAAGAATTTTTTGGAAGCTGAAGTGGAAGAAAATAATGATAAACTCAATCTGTTAATCAATTACGTTAGTCCTACTATTTTTGAATATATAAATGAATGTGTCATTTATGAAGATGCGATTAATATTTTGAAAAACATATATGTCAAGCCAAAGAATGAGATATTTGCCAGACACTCATTATCGTCAAGAAAACAACAAGTAGGTGAGTCTATAGATAAATATTTATAAGCCCTGATGAAGCTCCATGAGCCAAGACTGTAATTTTAAAACAGTCAATGCAGATCAAAATAGGGACAATTACATCAGAGATACTTTCATAACTGGTCCTACTTCTTCTCATATAAGACAAAGGCTTTTGGAACATTGTACTTTGAGCTTAACACAAGCATTTGAGACTGCTAGAGCACTTGAAATGGCTCAGCAACATTCTGAATCTTATCTTACACCTTTCTTGTCAAATATGAATGCTGCGATCTCTCATCAAACTCCTGACAATTTTTTGAATGTACAGATTGAAAATGACTATGCTATAGCAGCTGTCGCTTCTTATTGCTATTTTTGTGGTAGATCCAGACATGCCAGAGATATCCCCAGACCCCATCAAAAGAACAGCAATTATCTTAGTAGAATGAGGCTTTTGATTTTTCGATTGACAGACCTGGCTGAAATGACCTTTCTTTCCGCAGTTGTAACAAATAGAATTTTTCGCTGGAACAGTCAATGTCCAGCGAAAAATTCTATTTTAATCATCATAACAACTGCTGTTCTTTTGATGGGGATATCTGGAATTACTTCTCCTGTTGGTTTATCAAAAGCCCTAATCGAATTGCAAATTAATGGATTTATGGTCAAGACACTGTTCAACACAGGAAGTTTGGATAGGTAGTTATATTTCCGTTGTAGTTGTGAAAAAACAAACATATGAAATTTTTTCCTATAACACTGAATGTTACAATGACATCAGGGGCGGATATAGGCCTTTTGAAAGGGGGGGCAGTTTAAGTTGAAGTAAGCCAGATTGGGTTAGTTATGGCAGCGCATTGTGCAAGATAAGGTTTTTCGAAGAAATGGCCAATAAAAATATGGGAATGGGGAACCTATTTAGGAGAATGAGGTGATTTTTTTTTATATATTAACACCCCGCCTACAGCCTTTACCTTTACAGGTAAAAAAAGGTGTAAATACAAAAGTTGTACAGTTTTGGCTGAATTTTTAGAAACAAAATTTGAATGTCAGAAATGTGAAATTTTGCATGCTTCTAGCTTTTTTCAAATGGGATGCCCTATATTTCATTCTATATCCTTGAAAAGCACAATGCTCCGATTCCAAAAATATATAATTTGTCCATATTTGATTGAACAGTCTCTGGTGAACCATTCTACCTATACAGGTGAAAGCTGCAGGTAAAATTTGAGGTACTTGGTTTCTAATAATATTTTTAAAATTTTTAGAACCAAATATGTTGGAGACGGCTCAACCAAATATAGACAAACTATATAGTTTTTGAATCGGGAAATTGTGCTCTTCAAGAATATAGAAGCAAATATAGGGCATCCCATTTGAAAAAAGCTGAAAGTATGCAACATTCACATTTCTGACATTTAATTCTTGTTTCTGATCATGGATTCTAAAAATGTAGCCAATACTGTACAACTTTTGTATTTACACCTTTCATCTACTTGTAAAGGTGAAGGCTGTAGGTGGGGTATCATTATATAAAAAAACACCCTGTACTCATTATATAAAGTTAGAATTTGTAAGATTATCCACTTTTTGTCAATTTGCCTTTTAACAGGAATTAGTAATGTTACTTTACCAAACAAGTAATATATTGTGATGAGTTATTCAAATACAAACGAGTGGATTATTGCGGAACTTATGGGTGGACCTCTGCGGGACGAGCGCAGCGAGTTCCGCAGCCATCTATTCATCAATATGTTGTTTAATTGCGATGAATTTATGGTCAAAATGATGTTTTTCATTAACTTTAGAATGATAAGAAATCATCAGAGTTCAATACTTCTTCAGTGTAATTTTCCCTTAAGATGAGCCAGAAATAGAATATTTATGTTTTTCTATTTCAAATTCAGTTCCAGAAATCTTAAAAATAGGCTTATCAAACAATAATTGCTGTAAGAAAGTGCAGAATTGAAATTCAATGCTTCAGGAGAGCCTGGAATAGAAATTTTCATTTTCTCAGTCCAGTTTCAGAGTTTGAGCTACATAGAGAATGCAAAACGAGGCTCTCTATATCAACTAGGAGAGCTAGGAATGGAATATTCACAATATTCATGTTTCTCTACTCCAAATCCAGCTACATAAGTTGAAAATGAGCTTATCAAACCTACCTAAGAAGGTGCAAAATTAAAGTTCAATGCTTTAGGAGAGCCTGAAATAGAAATTTTGATTTTCTCAATTGAGTTTCAGAGTTTCAGCTTTATAGAGGATGCAAAATGAGGCTCTCTATGTCAACTAGGAGAGCCAGGAATAAAATATTCATGTGTCTCAACTCAAAATCTAGCTACACAACTTAATTCGTGGAGTTTGGAGTTGATTTTCCATGCAAAGTATATCCTATTCACATTCCGTCGTCCAAAGGTAAAGGTAAATTTATCACTTTTCTCTATCAAAATTTGATAGCACTGACAGGTGATACATTTTACTTTACCTTTGGAAATTGGATTGTGAATGGATAATAGATAGAAGTTTCAGATAATGCGTTATTCTCGAGGTTATTCTCATTAGTTTAAAAATTACACATTTCAGGTGAATGTTTTACTTGAACAGTTCAATAGTATATTGGTGATTGGATGGCTGCGGAACTCGCTGCGCTCGTCCCGCAGAGGTCCACCCATAAGTTCCGCAATAATCCACTTATTTGTACAGGATGTTTTTTTATATATCGACACCCCACCTACAGCTTTTACCTTCACAGGTACTGTACAACTTTTGTATTTACACCTTTCATCTCTCATAAAGGTAAAGGTTGTAGGTGGGATGTCAATATATGAAAAAACACCCCTTACATAATCTTATTGATTTTGTATGAATATTTATTTATTAGAACAAAAAAAAACAATACATCAACTCAACCATTGATGATATACTGTTTGAGGTTGAAGTTCTTGGGAAAAGACAGAAGTGTGATTTTTTGATTTTCTAAACATTCTTAAAACTTAAAATATGGTTTTGTTTCCTTTTTTTTTTAAATTTTATTATTTTATTTTAAAAAGGGGAGGGGGCAGTTGCCCCTTGTCCCTCCACTGTATCCGCCACTGAATGGCATCTTCAAATTTTTACTCTTTGGTAAGTACGTGGATTTTGAAAATCTGATATAAAAATATTTGACAATATCTATAAAAATACCAGACTTTACATTCTAGAAGAACTGTGTTGATATTATAATTGGACATGATATTATCAAACAACATTCAGTTTCGGGCGAAGCAAACCATGGATTTCCATATGTAATTTGACTATCGCTAAGGTGGTAGAACCATATCCATTATCCGAACATTTGGCAGAAAATTGTAAGCTTATTGCAATTAAATCTCGCAAATACTCCACAGTTGATTTAAAATTCATTGAAGCTGAAGTGTAAAGACTTTTAGAAGAGAAAATAATTGAGCCAAGCAATTCCCCGTGGAGAGCCCAGGTGCTAGTGACCAGTAATGAAAATCATAAGAAGCCAATGATTAT